CAACATTGTTGCCATATTGAAATGTTGGAAACTTTGTCAACGTTGCTGCTGCATTGAATGCTGGAAGTTTTATTATTTACCTTTATATTTTTGTTTACTTCATTATGTTGTAATTAGTATGTTAAATCAAATGATAAAGCAAAGTTTTTGTGTCAAGCTAAAACTAGAACCCAGTTTAGCGTAAGGGGGGATGTTGGATATAAAAAGTGTAGGATGTCTCTGTTTCTCCTAAGCGGTGTCATTTTGTTAAAGTGTTAGTGAAAGGACTATGCGACGTCATTTTGTAAGTATAATGGGTAGTTAAAAGTCAGTCCTTATACTTATTATTGTGGTTCATTCAGTTCAATGAAAATTCTAGAATCACTTCGAAGCTTTCTCTAAATTCATTCTAACTTCATTCTTCATTAGTGAATCCTAACCACTCACAGAATGTATGTGCCTCATGTTAGTAAGTGATCGTCTTTGCGTAGTGGAAAAACGCATTTTAAAACGAAAAAGATAACTTACACATCCCAAAATCTGGGCACAAATTATATTGTTTGCATGCATAAACTTAAAGTGTATAAAAACAAATCTGCAAAAATAAACAACCCATACAAGGATCGAAAACACTTACGCACATTTGGAGGCTTCTCCAAATATCTTTGGGTCTGATTTTGCTACTCGATTCAACGTAGAAATGCACTCACGCTGTCCACACGAAGACAATCTATAGAACCCTTGATTATTTTGCTAAAATAACCAAGGGCTTCAAGAATTAAGGAAGATCAAGAGAAAAATGAATTTTTCTTTTGCACTAAAGAGTGAAAAATGTGAGAGAGAGTTTTTGGGTAGCTAGGGTTTTTCTTTATTTTTGTAAAATTCTCTTTTGCTTTAATTTAAGTTGCACTTATATAGTACAACTAATTAAAACCCTATTCCATTAAGGAATAGTCATGGGCACCAACACAAACTCACCCTTGCAACCAAACACCCTATTATTAGTAAAATCAATTAATATATATATAACATTTAATTAATAATAGTTCATTTAAATATACATATTAATATATATTCAAATATAATCTCACTAATTTTAATATTGATATTAAAATTAAACATAGACAACAATCTCAGTAAATTTAATTGGACTGTGAGATTACCAAAATACCCTCTCGTCCTAAAAGAAAAAAATACCCCTCTCATAGACTAATTCTTAAATTGTCTTCTAAGTGTGTGACCCATATGCTCTTCATCATATCGGCAGTGAATAGTATTGCGATTAACTCTAATTAATCGTCTCATTACATACAGACCAATATTGACCCCTAGCAAGGCATCATGGCTACTCGATAGATTCGGATTCAACGAAATTGCAACCTGTCAACGGTATGGTTACTTTGCAATCAAATCCTTTCATCATCTGTTATCTCATCGAGGCTGAGGTACAGAAATAGTGTCAACCTCAGATATCCTCGATATGTTTGTATTCAGTTATTGGACAAATGACAGGAATATTCAATTGGATTTAGCAACAACTCAATCTCACTATGGCCAACGATTTAGTGTCATTGCCATTTACTGAATTACCTAGTGAGATAACTTTTCCCGTACCAAGGAGTGATGAATCCTTTGTCGATCCACCATAGTCTCGATATATTTCTCAATGTAGCCAATCACTACCGTATTGATAGCTCTGAATAGACCTACGTTGGGCTAGTATCAAACTACACTAATTGGTGCACAAGACGCTCTGGTGATCTCAAGTCTAAGGATCACATGCACCACCATCTGTTAGACGAATTATTCCATAGACACAAGGGTTACCATCCATATGGAATCCTCTAGTGGATCTCTCCAATGATTGCCTATAACAAACATACATGTGTTGCACCAGGTTACCGAAAAACAACCTTGACAAATGAGATCAATCGTTGTCTTTCGACAAGGTCGTTCAATACTATGATAGCCTTACCGTATTATATGTGTCCTTGATCAGAATAATACTAAGGCTACGGACATTTTTAGAATAGCCATCATAAGTGATCATAGGGTTCTCACTATCAAGATTTGAAACACTTGATACCCTTGTCACGGTTTCACCATCCTAAGGACATATATCATTACATATAACTATGATTTATACGATATAGAATAATATGCCTTTTATTGATAAATAAGCATTATTACAAAGTCAACTTTACAATAATTGATTGGCTCTAGAGTGCCTACTCTAACACCTCATTAATCAGTAATTAATTCAGGGAAATGCTATGGATTAGAAACAATAAAATATTGACAACAATTCTACACATTTTGATTAATTAGTATTCTTATACAAGTACTAGAAATGAGCATTTTTGTACTGTAAGATATATAGTACATGTATATGTATTTTGTTTCTTACCTAAATTCAAATACAATAGTAGATATTTATAATTTAAAAGGTTGCTTTTGAATATATCATTATAAATATATGCATAAAACATTCTTTTACAAATTAATTGTGTCATATGCGAACGTGACTCCTCATTACAACAACAGAGTTAACGAAACCGTGATAATGAAGGCAACTTGTCAACAGTGGGATATAATTGTATACAAATTAGCTCCTACTTCTCCTCCTCCTTTAGGAGAGATTATGAGAAAGGCCCTGAATTTATTAAACCTCACGTCAACGGCTTTAATTTGGCCAATCATCCAAATAATTGGTTTCTCATCACAATGATCAATTGTATTCTACTTCACTTAATATTAAGTAACTGATTGGTGGTCAAGCTCAAATTAACCTTTTATTTAATATCTTCTGTCAAAGTTTCAAAAGTTTCTTCACGCTAAACCTAATTTTAAAAAACAAAATTAAATGCCAATATGGATGGATGTGTTGACGCAGCGAGTTAGCTTAAAAACAAGGCTAACACACGGCTATGCCTTTAAGTTTGATAAACAAGTCTCAATCACGTAAACTTAATTCGTAAAGTTCGAAAGAAAATCTGAAATGTCATTCTATATCATCAAAGAAACAAATAATATGTTTATATAAGGTGGTGGCAGCCAACCGTAACAAGACTTCCAAATAAATAAAGAAATAAAATCCTAATTAAATACAAAAATTAATTAAAAGAAGAAATCCTCATTGTTGACTAATTATAAAATAAGAAAGAACTCTAAATAAAATAGGAAAAACACTCAGAAAACTTAAACGAACCCGAACACGCCAAAATCGTGAAATTTTGCCTTGAAAACGACCTCCAATTGGAGTATCCAGTTGATCATGACATTGAGCTCGAAAAGAGATTTCCGTTGATATTTTACGGGCCCCTGTAACTCCTCTCGGATAAAAAGTTATGACTGTTTTAAGTTGACATGTTCATTTAAGACCTTTGGATCGTGCATTTGAGCTTCTGACGCCCAACTCTCCCCAAAAATTCATCTGATAGACATTCTACATCATGTGTTAAACATTACTTGTTATTATATTACTTTGTAATTTATAATTTCCCTATAGAACAAGTAAAAATTACCATTACGAGCATAAAGGACCGGAGATTATAGACTTTGCAATTGAACAAAGTTAATTTATTAGCAATGTGGGGTAAGGTCTTGAGTTTGTGCAACTGAAAACTAGAGTGATCAACTTAATTTATATCAAAACTTACAATTAACAATGTTACCTTTTGTGTTTTGGTTACTAATTAAGATATCATTATGGTAATAAAAGGTTCGTTAACTTAAGTCCTAAACCATGAAAGTAATGAATTAACAAAGCCGTCACATAGATATAGGTGTGTTGAATTTTATTATATAGAGGCTGAATTAAGTTATTTGGAAGCTATATATATATGTCACAAACAAGCTACTAGTTAACGTGCATACAAAGTTAATGAGAATAGGCCTTAATCTCCATTAATCATCAACTAATTAATTATAGTTAAGTACGTAATCCAGTACGGAGTACATAACACTATAATAAAATATTGACTATACTGACTAATTAATTTAGTAAAAAGGCATGCATTTAAATATAATAAAATATAAATAGTCAGCCTTGGCTGTGCATTAGGAGTTACCAAAGAAAATACGTTTACGAACATTTTCAATAATGATATTTATTTTAAAGAGTATCTTTTATATAAATAAAGAGTATTTTCATTGATTTTTAAATATAAGAACAAAATTTTTATTCAAATCCAATAGACTTTTTAAGTTTTAGGAGAGAGAATATGTTTTTTCAAGAAAGAAACTTAATAGGAGAGATAAATTATAAATAAAATGCATAAAAACTTATAATTTATTATTTAAAATTGGGATAAAGAGTGAAGTTTGAGAGAGTCAAACTTACTCTTTAATTTATATGTAAAAAATAGAGTATCTTCAAAGGACTTTTTATATGATTCAAACTCTTTATTATAATGAATTTATCCATAGAAACAAGAGTCTAATAAACTCTTTATTCTTTAAATATAAATTAAAGAGTGAGTTTAACTCTCCACATTTAGAGAGTCCAATTTCACTTTCCATTCTAATTTTAAATAATAAATTGTAAGTTTTTATACATTTTATTTATGATTTATGTCTTATATTAAATTTCTTTCTTAAAAAATCAGATTCTCTCTCCTAAAATTTAAAGAGTCTATTGGATTTGAATAAAAAATTTGTTCTTTATATTTAGAAATAAATGAAAATACTTTTTATTTGAAAAAGTGCTTTATATTTAGAAATCAATTAAAATACTTTTTATTTATATGAAGAGTGCTCTCATTGGAGATGTTCTAATAGACTAAGAATTAGTGTGGCGCTGTTTTCTTCGGATTTCATTTACCAATTAATCTTTCTTCAAATCTACTTTATTCCTTCTTATCCAATGCAAACAACTGTAGATAATATTTATGCTTTTCTGTATAAATAGCTGAACGGTTTCTACTTCTTTCCCACCAACTCATCCTAACTATAACCGTCATCAACTTCTTAATTAGCTTATCATCAGATCTCTTTCACTTGCATCTCTTTATTCGGCGAAAATGGCGATCAGGTTCTTTAGTACTCATCTTTACTGGGCTCTTCTCATTCTCTCTATTTACTTACACGCATCAGATGCAACACAAAACTATAATGTGTTAAAGTTCGGAGCCAAAGGCAATGGTGTAACAGACTCCACCCAAGCATTCATCAAAGCATGGGCAGCAGCCTGTGGTTCTGAAGAATCAACAACAATTTATGTGCCAAAAGGAAGATATTTGCTTGGCTCTATGGCATTTAAAGGTGACTGTAAAAATTCGGATATTAAAATACACATTGACGGAACACTAGTGGCTCCGGCAGATTACCGTATACTAGGTCAAGCTGATAACTGGCTAAGCTTTGAAGGGGTTAGCGGTGTTTCCATTATTGGTGGAGCACTGGATGCCAAGGGAACTGCGTTGTGGAATTGCAAGGAAAAAGGCACTAAATGTCCCAACGGAGCCACGGTAAATTATAAATTCGCTAATTTGCTTCAAGTTCTTAGTTTCATTTTAATTTGTACGATGTCTCAATTCATGAAATATGGTGTGTGTAAATGCAGTCATTGAGCTTTACTAATTCAAACAACATCAAAATCAATGGACTCTTATCACTAAACAGTCAGATGTTCCACATTGTGTTCAACGGTTGTCAAAATGTGCGTGTTGAAGGAGTTAGAGTCATAGCTGCCGGAGATAGCCCCAACACAGATGGTATTCATGTCCAATTATCTCGAAATGTTATGATCAAGAGCTCCTCCATCAAAACTGGGGATGATTGCATCTCAATTGGCCCTGGCACTAAGAATTTGTGGGTTGAACGTGTTACATGTGGCCCAGGTCATGGCATTAGGTACTTTTCAATCATACATTTTAATTTATTTGAAGCTACCTTTTTTAATAACACTTCTCTACTACAAATACAATGATAATTAACATCAAGAATGGGTGCCGACCTTTTGTTTAATTTGCAGCATTGGGAGCTTAGCCAAGGATATGGACGAGGAAGGAGTACAAAATGTGACAATTAAAAATACAACTTTCATAGGTACTCAAAACGGGTTGAGGATAAAGTCATGGGCTAGACCGAGCAATGGATTTGTTCAAGGCATTCGGTTCATAGATGCTGTTATGCGAAATGTCCAAAATCCCATTATTATTGACCAAAACTACTGCCCTCATAACTTAAATTGTCCTGGTCAGGTGAGAAAATCTCTCAAACTTTTCACTATAATCGAAGATTAGTGTATCCACCATGTTTTAAAAATATGCATAAACAAATAAAATACAACTAATTTTCATTTTCAATTTATTTATTTCAGGTTTCAGGTATCAAAATTAATGATGTGACCTATCTAAATATACGAGGAACTTCTGCTACACCAGTGGCTATAAAATTAGACTGCAGTAAGAAATACCCTTGTAATGGAATAAGACTACAAAATGTCAATTTAAAGTATCTAAAGAAAGCTGCCCAATCATCTTGTAGTAATGTAATTGGGAAAGAATTAGGGTCAGTTGAACCCAACAATTGTATATAGCTGAATAGCTTAAAAGAATTTTGTACATAATTTAACGTCATTGTACCTTATTCTTTTTAATAAATTACTTTATTTATTGATTACTGAATGATATGCTACACATAATGTTTATTGTCTTTGAAATCTAATGTCCAATATACCTTGAAAGGAAGATTAGGGCAGATCTAATTACTAGTTAATTACATGTCATCTTTCACTCTTTCTAGTAGCAATATGAAAATGACAGAAGTAGCCTTGCAAACTATCAAATCAGATTTCTGAACTCAAACTTATTGATCAATTTGGTATATATGTGGAATAGAATCTATAGATTATAAGACTCGAAAACACTAGAAACAGTGAAGTTGAGATAAATAAAAATAAAAAAAGTCTCGCACTCAATATCTAATAAAAGGGCGATTAGGAAAGACTTACAGAAATAATTATACTTGGATCAAGTTAATTTGCTTCTGTTTGTGTCCTAACCATGGAACCCAAAAAAAGCTGTCAGGCAGAAATGGATTTGTTGAATTTAGTTGTACATGCTGACTTAAGTTTAGTTAGTTTTTTTTAGTAATTTATATCATAATGTCACTAACAAGCTACTTGTTAACGTGCAATATATATATATATATATATATATATTCAACTTAGATGGTCCTCAATAAGGAAAAATATATGTGCCTCATTAATTAATCACTAATTAATTCAGGGTAATGAAGAACAATAAAATATTGACAAGAATTTTAGACACTTAATTTGATTAACTGGAATCCTTATACAAGGAGTAATGAGCATTTGTACAGTAAATAGTATGTATTTTGTTTCAAATTAATAATTTAAAAATTAGCATTTGAATATATCATCATAAATATATGCATAACAAGGTTCTCAAATCCAAATCTTAGTAATTCTTTACAAATTAATTGTGTCGTGCATGTCAACATGACTCTCCTCATTAAAACAACATAATGAGGGTAACTTGTCAACAGTGGATAATTGAATTTTCTGAGATGACAAAGGCCCTGAATTTATTAAACCTCACGACAACGACTTTAATTTGGTCCAAATAATCGGCTTGGCATCAGACTCATCACAATTATGCATAAATTGTTTTCTACTTCATGATATTAAGTGACTGATTGTTGGCCGCGCCCAAATGCTCTTCATATATTGACAGACCTACTTTAAAAGAGAAAATTAAATGCCAATATCGAATGAATGTGTTCAACATTAATTATAATTAACTGAAGTAAGGATATTTGTCTCTATCCCTGCCAGACAATAAGCTAGTCACCACTAAATCGGTTTGAGTTTATTAATTAGCTCCCTACAACTAATAGAATTTGTCTGTCTTAATCTAATATTGCCGAAGTCAGATATACTTTTGGAATTAAGCCGCTGGATCAGTTATCATGCATATTGAAATTGATTTTGTATATCCAATGCTGTAAAGTTTGATGAGTAACAAAGGGGTAATAAAATCTCTTATGAGCAAAAATCTGCCATGAAGGCCAACATAATTAGTTAAATTCGCTATAAAATAACTGCTAACTACTATTACATACATGTATAATGGTAGAAATTGTATTTGTCTTACATCGCCAATTTAGTAGACTGTTATGATTTATATATGTGGTATGCCCTCCTTCCTTGAGTTAGCTTTTGGAGATGCAAGTTCTACCCATGTCTACTTTATCATGGCTATATTTCTTCATTTCTCTTAGAACAAACTATAATGTTTTACAGAATCAACCACAATTTATGTACCAAAAGGAAGGTATTTGCTTGGCTATATGACCTTCAAAAGTGACTGCAAAAGCACATATATTATAATACGCATTGATGGAACTCTAGTGGCTCCGTCAGACTGGCATCTATTAGGTCAGGCGGATAACTGGCTAAGCTTAATTTGAAGGTGTTTCCATCATCGGTGGAGCACAGGATGCCAAGGGGACTGCGTTGTGGAATTGCAAGGCTAAAGGCTCTAATTGTCCCACGGTATGTATTAGGTCAAGCACAGATTGGTGTATTATTTTATTATGTTTTTTTTTTTAATTTAATAAATCATATTCCCCTACGCATATATTTCACACGTTAATTAATTTGAACCTTGATGATGAAGGCAACGGTGATAGAATCGAAGAATATACACGGAGACGAAAAACGCCCTGAATTCATTAAACTTTACGTCAACTGCCTTATTTTGGATATTGGATTGTGATGACAATGAATAAGCAACTCATTGGTGGTGTACTTTGGAATTAAGCTTTTATGTACTTTATTACTACTAGTTATAGTAATTTAATGAGTTTGAATGTTTGAGTTTACCAATTACCTGATCTCTTCAATAGTTCTAGAAATTGTTTGTCGATATAATAATTGAATAAGGTGGTGTATTTTGGAATTAAGCTGCTGGGCTTTATATATAGTACATTAATCATCATATTCAATTTAATCTTGTGTGTATATCTAATATCTTAATTACGTTATAAATTAATTATTATTACTACGGTCCACGTACATAAAGGACTTCTGGGGGCTATAGACTTAATTGAGACTTACGAAATTTGATACATGTATGAGAGAGCTAGTTGTAATTCGGTGCATTTTTCTTTGGGTTTCATCTAGATTTCTTAAATTTTACACCATTCCTTCTATCTAATCCAAACATTTGTATCTTTCCCTCTCTCTTATTGTATAAATACCAGTACCGTTTCAACATCTTCTCATCAACTCACCTTACCTTCAAATTCTTAATTTCTACCTAATTAAGTATCATCTTCTCTGTTAACCCATATTAGTCTTAATATATTTCTCTCGTATTCAGCAAAAATGGCGATCAAGTGCTTCCATACTCATCTGTACATGTTTTTCCTCGTTTTCTCTATTTACAACTTGCATTCATCATCTGCAGCAACAAACTATAATGTGTTAAGTTTTGGAGCCAAAGGCAATGGTGTAACAGATTCCACCCAAGCATTCAGCAAAGCATGGGCTGCAGCTTGTGGCTCCACAGAATCAACCACAATTTATGTACCAAAAGGAAAGTATTTGCTTGGTTCTATGACCTTTAAAGGTGACTGCAAAAATACAGATATCAATATGCGCATTGATGGAACTCTAGTGGCTCCATCAGATTACCGTGTACTAGCTCAAGCTGACAACTGGCTAAGCTTTGAAGGGGTTAGCGGTGTTTCCATCATCGGTGGAGCACTGGATGCCAAGGGAAGTGCGTTGTGGAATTGCAAGGCTAAAGGCACTAATTGTCCCAATGGCGCTACAGTACGGAATACTTAACTTTCTTTCTAGTTTTATTTTGATTTTACGATGTCTTAATTTATGAAATCTGTTGTGTGTGTGAATGCAGACAGTGAGCTTTAGCAACTCAAACAATATCAAAATCAAGGGACTTATATCACTAAATAGCCAAATGTTTCACATTGTTATCAACGGTTGCCAGAATGTTCATGTTGAAAGAGTTAAAGTCATAGCTACCGGCGATAGCCCGAACACAGATGGAATTCATGTCCAATTATCTAGAAATGTCAATATCATGAGCTCTTCCATTAAAACTGGGGATGATTGCATCTCAATTGGCCCTGGAACTAAGAACTTGTGGATTGAACGTGTCACGTGCGGCCCCGGTCATGGTATTAGGTAATTCAAACATTTATCATCTAAAACTACTTAACTAATTAACAACAAACATCTCATCTTCCATATGATATTCATACCAAGAATGTTTTTCTTTGATTTATAGCGTTGGGAGCCTGGGCAAGGATACAAATGAGGAAGGAGTCCAAAACGTGACAGTTCAAAACACAACTTTTGTAGGTACTCAAAATGGGTTGAGGATAAAGTCATGGGCTAGACCTAGCAATGGATTTGTCCAAGGCATTCGGTTCTTAGATGCTATTATGCGAAATGTTCAAAATCCCATTATTATTGACCAAAACTATTGTCCTCACAACTTAAATTGTCCAGGCCAGGTAAAGATCTAAATATTTCTATGTAAATGAAACTTTTTAGATCCATTATGTTCTCAATGAATCTTAAAAAATGTATAGCATCCCTATTTATACTAATTTTTTTTTTTTTTTAATTATACATCCAGGTTTCAGGTGTCCAAATTAGTGATGTAACATATCAAAATATTCGTGGAACATCTGCTACACCAGTTGCTATAAATTTAAATTGTAGCACAAAATACCCTTGCAAAGGAATAAGATTACAAAATATAAACTTGAAGTATTCAAACCAAGTCGCTCAATCATCTTGTAGTTACGTAACCGGGAAGGAACTTGGCTTGGTTCAACCCAACAATTTTATTGCCACTGACTGAATTCTATAAGTTATGTGACCAACAAGCTACTGTTTATCGTGCAAGTGCAACATATTATGATAACTAAGCCAGATGTAAACTAATAAAAATTAATTTAATACCAACTGGTATGTGCCTCAGTTAAACTATTAATTAAACTGTAGTCCAGTACCAATATGGATGGATCGACTAATAATAGAATAATTAACTATATTTATGCACACTTTAATGTTTTATTGCAGTTTTACAAGTCAAAAGAATATTGATGCAAATATTTTTAAAGCTCTAATCAATGTTTAATAAACCTGGGATATTACAAGGTAATTATAATCTATTTCCACATTTAAATTTAACCACCTATGAATTATGATTTGGGAGTGTAATCAAAGCCAGGGTTGTTTTAGGCAGATGGAGTTGGTTATTTGGGGAGCGCCAATTTATGAAGCCAAAAAAAGAAGGGCGAGGTGGATGTAAGAACTATAGCTCGCGATGTGAGCTGAAGCTAGGGGTTTACTTGATAGGTCGGAAATTGACGGTGGATGAAGGCACGAAAATGAAAAGAAATGGGTATGGCGGTGGATGATGGCAAGGAAATGGCAAAACCTTATTATGACACTGCTAGTTTGACTTGAAGTGAAGGAGGAAATGAATATGGGAAGAAAAATCTTGAGACTGGCATAACTGGAGCCTTAAAGGAAAATGGGTCAAGAGAATTGACAGAGGAAGATAGGAATATCCCATGAGATGAGGCTTTATAGGTGATTCGCAACACCACACGCATTGTGGTGGAAACACCAAATAGAGGATTGATCCTCAATCAGCGAAGACCACCATCTTCAAACTTTAATTTGGCAAGTGGAGATGATGACAACCGAGCTAGGTCAAGGAGCCTACCGATGAAGCGACGAGGTGTAGCAAACGGCGAAACTCAAACACCAGTGACGGGAACTTTGATCGATGAGAAAACAGGGAGCAGGTTTAGGGACCAAAACTCTCATGGGTTGATTCTCGAGTTACCAGGAGAGGAGGCCAGGTTGGGCAATGGGTTACACGTAATTCAGGCCCAGAAGCAACAAAAAGGGTTGGACCATCAAGTAGTCAATGGGCAAAAGCAAAATGAAGGACCAAAGGGGAAAGCAATTGTTGCGGGCCTGGATAATAGGTTGGGCTTTTGTAGAGATGTTGGAACATATAATAGGAAGTCTAGTGGGCAGAAGGCTCACCATCGGTTTGGGTTAATACCAAAGAACAAGGTTAGGTGCAAAATGGAGGCTCAAAGGAAAGGGAGAATTTTTCTTTCCAAATGACTAATGAGGAGCAGACATCCGACCATCTTGATGGGCAATTGAATGCTTATGAGGGGAATCCTATTGAAGGGCAAAAAAGAAGCAGGGTGAATGTTGTTCATGACAAGACACTGCAGGAAAAACTACAAATGAAATATTGTGAGCCAATCGTAATTAATGGAGGTACCACAATGGTGAGGCCGTCGCTTTCTCTGACTATGGAGGGAAGGAAAAATGGGAAAATTGCTTGGTGGGGTCGTTTATTGAACAAAAGCCTCCGTTTCATTCGGTTCAATTTATGGCTTTGAAATTATGGCTGAAATATGGGATCAAGGATATTATGATGAATGAAAAGGGGTTTTTCTTTTTCAAATTTGAGGAAGAGGCAATAATGCTTCAGTGCTTAGAGGATGGCCCATGGTTATTTCAAAACAAGCATATTCTGTTACAGAAACGGCAAGCTAAGATGGAAATAAATAAAGAAGCACCACAATTTATACCATTGTGGGTAAAGCTTTTTGATGTCCCATTGGAGTTGTAGAGTGCTGAGGGACTAAGTTACATTGCCAGTGGGGTGGGTAAACCTCTAGGGATGGACAAAATAATGGAAGACACTTACATATTTGGAGTGGGCCGAATAGGATTTACAAGGGTTCTCGTGGAAGTTGATGCTAGACGCCCATTATCGACAGTGACAAAAATTCAAATGCCTAATGAGAGAAATTTGGCACCTAAGGTTATGGATGTAAAGGTGGAGTATTAGTGGCGCTGCGTTTTTGGTCACGGGGAGGTCTCTTGCCCATGACAACCTAGAGTGGAGAGTCAAGGTGTAATGGTTGCTTTCTAATTAAGTACTCATAAAATATACATAATGAAAATACATATAAGATGGTAAAACGAGTTGGGCCCAAAATTTTCTTTTATTAAACATATACGTTCTTTATACAACGTTTGGATTATATACAAAAATTATCAAAAACATGATGGACAGTGTAACCATTTCTCTTCGTGGGCCGATGCCCATTCGACCGCGTTCTCACCTAGATCCTTCAACCACAAAGAAAACAACGGGGTGAGCACAAAATAATGCTCAGTAAGTAAATCTTCTACTTGACTGTCCCCGTAACTCTCTCTCTAATTCTTTCCTTACAATTCTCATCTTTCACACAGCTCTCTTTACTTAACTTCTGCTATATGTCATAGCCCCATCTTACCGGAGGCACGGCCGGGTGGAGTTCACACAGCACCAACCCACTCTTCGTGACTTTCAGGTGGAAATCACAAAGCACCAACCCGCTTTTCATAACTATTGGGTGGAGATCACAAAGCACCAACCCATTTCTCATCACTATCGGGTGGAGATCACAAAGCACCAACCTATTTTTCATATTTTCTCATTCTCTCTACTCTTAGAGTAGTTCATACACATAGTTCTCTACTCTTTCTCAAGCCACTACTCAATGCCCAATTAATCTTCTCCACTAATGCACTCATGAAATACCAATATGCAATGTTGCAAGAATTAAGGATTACTACTCATGACTCTCTTAGGCATTTCATCAAACAACTAATGTGCATACATAAACTCTATTTATCTATGGTTCTATCCCTCTCTTGAACCATCCAAAATGGGAGAAAACTCCCTCACAAAATTATAATCCCTGTCATAAAAGCACACTTCCAAATAGATTTATCAATCTTCTCCAATTTCATCTCAAACTACATATTCATCACATATTAACACTTCTCATTAATAAAGTGTAATCAACAACCATAAAATAAATACTCATCTCAACCCAATTTCTCAATAGCATAACATACACATACATATATAAATCTCTACTCAAAAGATTTCTCAAATTTCAACTTGGGTTGGATTTACTTACCTTGTAATGGAGAGATCATAGTAGCACTTTCCTTTCCTTTAAAAGCTTGTCTCTTCTCTACAACTTTACACAATAAAACCACAAGAGTTTAATATACAATTATAGGTAAAACGTCACATCTAAAGCAAGAATCCTTACCTTAGGATGTCTTAGATTAATGTTCTACCAAGATTCAACTAAAAACCCTCAAAGATCCTTGAAAGATTGAAGGAAGAATTGAGAGGAACTGGTGAAAGAGTGTGGCGGTGGAAGAAGCATGAATGAAGGGTTTACTAAGCTTTAACCCTTTTTAGCTCAAAATATATTCATTCATTCCCATATTGCCCTTGCTCTTTCTTCAAAATTCCATCTTTGTCCTTTCAATCCTTACAATCACACCCCCACTCTAACATATTTTCCATAAAATTCTCTTACATTTTACTCCCCACTTTTCCTGCTAACTAAGGGTAGAAAGGTCTTTTTGTCGCTATGGAAAGAATTCTCAAGAAACTCACTACACATTTTATTTGGCTTTTCGCCGCGGCGAAAAATTACAGAACCTACCTCTTTGGTTGCAGAACCTCGTCGCCGCGGCGAAGATTATTCTTCGCCCTGGCGAAGTCTGTAACACTAAGATTTCGCCAAGTCTTTACAATTTTAGGGCAACCACTCAACCAAACCAATATATCCCTTCAACCAAGGGCCAACCAAACAACATGAACAATATGCCAACTCAAATAAGAGCAAAACAATAAACATTAGCTACGTACCTCAAGTGGGGCGTTACACAAGGGAATAGAATGGAGAATGTGCAAAATACTCCTGATAATGATGAAGGGTTCTTAAAGGTTTCTCGACGAGGTAAAAGGAAAGGAGTTGGGGGACCTAGAATTGATAATCGTCCTAATCCTCAACAAACAATTCTGAGCCAACCAAAACATGGGAAGACTAGTCAGGTTAAAAGAAAAGTTGTGATGGCCTCTAGATCCTAGAAGATCACTCAAGACAAATCCAAGGAGTAGCAACCACCCATTAGTGTGGAAAATTCTTTATGGTGCCTTGCAGCCGAATGTGAGGAGAATATGAACTTGATGGACAGAAATGAGGAGGAAACCAATCCATTGGATATGAAAGTAGGAACTAGATTAGAAGCTGATTGTGAATCTAATATGGAAGGCACAAACCTAGAATCAGATATGACATCCATGACGGGTTTTATGAAAGAAGGAAGAGTTAACGAAACGAGAAGTAGGAAGGACTTGGGGGGAAGTCTAGATGATCCCCTAATCACCACTTCTTGTCATGCTTGATATAGCTTGCTAGAATATTAGGGGGCTTAACTAGCCCCTTAAACAAGAGGAATTTCATAATTTGATTCGAAAGAGACATCTTGCACTATGCTCATTGGTGGAAACCAGAGTGGCTCATCCAAATACTAATAGTATTTTTGAGAAGATTTTCAAAAGATGGACGTAGGTGTCTAATGTTGACTAGTGTTCTAGAGGATGTAGAATTGTGGTTGGATGGGATTCAGATGTTTATACGTTGGATGTAAAAGAAGAGACGGATCAAGTGCTTCAGTGTTTGATCCGGACCATTAGTAGTGAGATAGAGTTTCATTGCTCTTTGGTCTATGCTATGAATGACCATACAGGTCGGAAAGACCTTTGGAATGAACTTCGCCGTCATAAGCTCGAGGTGGGAAATAGTCCATGGCTAATTTTGGGGGATTTCAACGTCACCTTGCATTTAAGTGAGAGTATAGGGGGTACTAACTATGTCACTGCAGAAATGAAGGAGTTTAGGGACTGTGTGAGTGATATTGAGTTTGAGGATCTTAGTCAAGCTAGGATACTATACACCTGGAATG